GACCTCGTGATCCACCCGCCTCGGCCTCCCACAGTGCTGGGATTACAGGCTTGAGCCACCGCGCCCGGCCTGAAATAGCCTTTTTCTACCCAGTTAATGTCTACAAGTCTTTCCTAACTGAACATATGCTACAGTGCACTTTTCATTCGACCTAGCAGTATTTATTGGGGATCTGCTATGTGCCAGGCACTGTTCTAGGGGTTGAGATGAAGGGAACAAGATTGATAAGTCCTCTCCTGGACCTTCAATTGTAGTTGACAGAGACAAAATAAGCAAAGAAGAAAAATATTCAATAGTAAGATGTGCTATATAAAAAATTGAAATAGGGTAATATAGGAGTGACTTGATACTTTAGATTGAGTGATCAGGAAAATCGCTGATAACACCTAACCAAAATCTGAATGATAAAAACGGCTGCATTTGTTGCTTGATAATTTTATGTCAGGCATTGTTTGAAGTGCTTTACATGTGTTAGCTTACTTGATCCTCAGAACAGCCTTATGCGCTTGTTACCATTATCCTCATTTGACAAAGAAGGAAACTTGGGGCACTAGAGCCCATGTTCTGAACCACATGCTAAACTACCTGGCTTATGAAAAGACAGAGTGAAAATGAGAAAAGGGAATTCAGAGTAGAGGGAACAACCACTTCAAGTCCCCTAAGGCCGGTTGGAGCTTGGCATGTTCAGAGAAAAGAATGCCAGTTTGGCTGCACCCTGGAGGGCAAAGGAAAGCATGGGAAGGAAGGTGACAGAGGGAGGCAGTTTCCAGATCACACAGGACTTGAGTGAGCAGGGAAATTAGTTCAGGTTTTATTCTAAGTGCTATAGTAAGCCAGTTTTGGGGTTGACTGTTCTGTGACATAGTTTAGGGGTTGCCGTGTTTGGTCTCCATCATACTGTTGCAGTTAGATGGCAGCTGGGGCTGGAGGCATCTGAAGCCTTCTTCACTCACATTCTCATTCCTGGGCTGGGATGACCGGAACCGCTGGGGGCTGTCCGGCATCTCTCACGGAGGGGCCTCTTCATGTGACTGGGTTGAGCTTGTACACAACAGAGCCGTCATGGGCTGATTGCACTCGTACACGACAGCTGTCTTCTCCTAGCATGAGCATTCCAAGGGACAGGAAGTAGGAGCTGCCAGTCCCTTAGAGTCTATGTTGAGAAACTGGCAGAATGTCACTTTTGCTGTTGGTCAAAATAGTCACAGAGCCCAGTGTTATTCCAAAGTAGGGGACATAGATGCCACCTCTCAATGGGAAAAGTATCAAAGAATTTGTGGCCTGGCCAGGCACAGTGGCTCACACTTGTAATCCCAGCACTTTGGGAGACCAAGTCTGGCAGATCACTTGAGGCCAGGAGTTTGACACCAGCCTGGCCAACATGGCGAAACCCCATCTCTACTTAAAAAATACAAAAATTAGCTGGGCATGGTAGTGCACACCTGTAATCCCAGGAGTGCTGAGGCACGAAAATTGCTTGAACTTGAGAGGTGGAGGCTGCAATGAGCCAAGACCATGCCACTGCACTCCAGCCTGGGCAACAGATAGTAAGACCCTGTCTTTTTAAAAAAAAAAAAAAAAAAAAAGGAATTTGTGGGCATTTTTAGGCTACCAGAGATCACAATCTTTTTATGTTTTAAAAGGCCCATTCTGCCGGGCGCGGTGGCTCAAGCCTGTAATCCCAGCACTTTGGGAGGCCGAGGCGCGTGGATCACGAGGTCAAGAGATTGAGACCGTCCTGGTCAACATGGTGAAACCCCGTCTCTACTAAAACTACAAAAAATTAGCTGGGCATGGTGGTGCGTGCCTGTAATCCCAGCTACTCAGGAGGCTGAGGCAGGAGAATTGCTTGAACCCAGGAGGCGGAGGTTGCGGTGAGCCGAGATCACGCCATTGCACTCCAGCCTGGGTAATAAGAGCAAAACTCCGTCTCAAAAAAAATAAAAAATAAAAATAAAAGGCCCATTCTGCTAGATAAAGAGTAACTGGGAAGGGGCCAGAGAGGAACAGTTAGATTGTCATCCTTTAGGCTTCCACAGCCTCCTGTCTTTATCACAGCTGTCTTTATCAATGCATAGCACACAGTTTTGCAGTTATTTGTTTTGCATGTCTGTTTTTTCCACTGGACTGAGCTTCTAAAGATAAAGACTCTCTCTCATCTCCATATCCCCAAAACCTGGCACCTCATACTAGATGCTTAAAATGTTTTATGACTTAAATAATAATATAGCCGGGCGCGGTGGCTCAAGCCTGTAATCCCAGCACTTTGGGAGGCCGAGGCAGGTGGATCACGAGGTCAAGAGATCGAGACCATCCTGGTCAACATGGTGAAACCCCGTCTCTACTAAAAATACAAAAAATTAGCTGGGCATGGTGGTGCGTGCCTGTAATCCCAGCTACTCAGGAGGCTGAGGCAGGAGAATTGCCTGAACCCAGGAGGCGGAGGTTGCGGTGAGCCGAGATCGCGCCATTGCACTCCAGCCTGGGTAATAAGAGCAAAACTCCGTCTCAAAAAAAAAAAAAAAAAAAAAAAAATAATAATATAAACAATCAGGGGAGACTAAAGCATTACAAGTCATAAGAATATACTTTTAGATATTTTCAGAATAATTAGTGATACAGGCACAAGATCTAGCTTTTAAAGCCTTTTTGCATTTTTCAGATAAAAACCCTGAGGATTACTTTAGCATTGTGAGCCTATCAGAAGACATGTTTGTTGATGGTATTTTATTACCATTTTTTGCTAAGACCACTGTCAAAGTTTTTGAGTATTTCTTGAGAACATCTCATTCATAAATCAACACTTTTTGTTGATGCCTGTTCTGTGTGAAACTCTAAGTGGAGGAAATAGCAAAGAACTAGAAGTCACAGTCTCATTTGAGGGACTGTAGTTCTAATTCAGTAAATAAAAAACATAGAAAACAACATTTTTAGTGTAAAAATAAGCTTCTTTATGATTGTAAGAAAACAGGTTTCTACAACTTTTTGCTTGATTTTAACCTAATACATTTTTTTTTTTTTTTTTGAGATGAAGTTTTGCTCTTGTCGCCCAGGCTGCAGTCCAGTGGTACAGTGTCAGTTCACTACTACCCCCGCCTCCTGGGTTCAAGCGATTCTCCTGCCTCAGCTCCTGAGTAGAAAAATCACAGGTGCCCACCACCCTGTCCGGCTAATTTTTGTAACCTAATGCATTCTTAACCACTACATTCTATTTTAGGTATCCTGAAGCAGTTTATGTTGTTTATACCGGCGATGTTGATGTCAGCGGTCAACAGATACTAGAAGGTGCTTTCAGAAGATTTAACATCAGATTAATTCTCCCAGTCCAGTTTGTTTTTTTAAGGAAACGCTATCTTGTGGAAGATTCACTCTATCCTCACTTCACACTGCTGGGCCAAAGTCTAGGATCTGTTTTTCTTGGCTGGGAAGCTCTAATGCAATGTGTTCCTGATGTTTACATCGATTCAATGGGATACGCTTTTACACTTCCTCTGTTTAAGTATATAGGGGGTTGCCAAGTTGGAAGCTATGTTCATTATCCTATTATCAGCACCGACATGCTCTCTATAGTGAAGAATCAAAATGTTGGACTTAATAATGCCGCCTTCATTACCAGGAATCCTTTTCTCAGCAAAGTAAAGCTCATCTACTACTATTTATTTGCTTTTATTTACGGACTTGTTGGTTCTTGCAGTGATGTAGTCATGGTCAATTCTTCTTGGACACTAAACCATATTCTCTCACTGTGGAAAGTTGGGAATTGCACTAACATTGTTTATCCACCTTGCGATGTGCAGACATTTCTGGACATTCCCTTACATGAGAAAAAGACAACCCCAGGACATGTGCTGGTTTCTGTTGGCCAGTTTAGGCCAGAAAAGAATCATCCATTGCAGATCAGAGCCTTTGCTAAATTGCTGAATAAGAAGATGGTTGAGTCATCTCCTTCTCTTAAACTTGTCCTTATTGGAGGTTGTCGTAACAAAGATGATGAACTTAGGGTAAACCAACTGAGAAGGCTGTCTGAGGATTTAGGAGTTCAAGAATTTGTGGAATTTAAAATAAACATTCCATTTGATGAATTAAAGAATTATTTGTCGGAAGCAACAATTGGTCTGCATACCATGTGGAACGAGCATTTTGGGATTGGTGAGTTTGGCCTTTAAACAACTTGTTTGGTGCCATGAGATATACACTTTAGGTTCCTTTGATAAAATGATAATACTCTAGAAGTCTGCTTCGTGCCCTAATTCTCCTCGCCTAATCCACCAAATATATTTTCCTCATTTGAGACCTTGTAAGATTGTACTTAATAATAGCAACTAGTATTTATTGACCAATTCCTGTGTGCAGGCCACTGTTGAGATTTGTACACATATTATCTAATTCAAGCCCCTCTAAACCTCTATTTGATAGGTGTTATTGTTATTCTCATTTTATAAATAAGGAAACTCAGGCATAGGAAGGTTTAGAAATTGCTCAAGTTCAGTTACACAGTAATTAAGTGGGTAGAGCCTGGATTCTAACCCAGGTAGCCCCTGCTCTTAACGGCAACATTTTCTCTCCCCATCTAACCCCGCTTCATACTTACTGGTACAGATTCCCCGGCCCTACCTTAATCCTACTGAATGGCCAGATGAAAATCTCTGGACCAGGCCTAGGTAGATATATTTTGATAATGCTGCTTAAGTGATTCTGTTTTGCATCAAAAGTTGAAAACCATTGTTTGCCTAGGGGCTTCTCACAGTAATTATTTTAGTCTTTTATTGACTCTACCCTCATCATTGGAATGGCCCTCTTCTTTGTGCCAGATCCCATCATGTCTTCAACTTCAATCTCCTGTCCTTTAGCCTTGTTTATTCCAATTTGAACTGCTATCTCTATTCTGACCTTTTAAGCATGCTATAAAATCAAGTACTGCTTTGTGTTTAATGTGAGTCTGCGTATGTTTCTCAAGTGCTTTGTGCCTCACACTGTTAGTTGTTAGGGAAAATGAGGATAACATAAAAGTGACATTTCCTAAACTAAGACTGCAATTTCTCGTATACTTTTTTTTTACTCCTAGTTAGTAGTATAGTACTAGGCCCAGACATGCAGCAAGAACTTGTTGACCCAACCTTTTGCATGGGATCTGACCTCCTGTGCTTCCTTTCATAGAAACTTACTAAGCATTCATTCTGTGCTAGGGACTTGGGTGGATACTAGGGATGTGGTAGAGACCAGAGCTGCTTAGCCTGTCAGAGGCTTCCCGCCCTCTGATGGTACCAAAAGACTACATAGGCAAGTGCTATGTCATGCCCTGTACCATGTGCTGTGCTGAGGAAGTGCAGGGTGATATGAGAATGTCAAAGAGAAACACCTAAGGGGGCAGGGAACAGTTGCCCAAGGAAGTGATGTGACACATGAGCAAGACCCAAACAATAATTAGAGGTTAACCAGGAGAGGGTAGAGTCTCCAGTAGAGGGAACAGCACTGTGACAGGAGTGACAACAGATACATCAGTAGGACCACTCAGCAGAAAAACAACAGAGAGGTGATCTGGGCCAGGTTAAGCCAGCAGAAAAGAATGTCAGGATTTTAAGTGTTGCATGTAAAAGCTTTCTGGTTTCTCCTGTCCATTCTGGTTACATGGGGAATAGATCAGTGAGGAGCAGGGAGAGCAAGACTGGAAAGGCAGTAACATGAACTGGCCTGCTGTAGCAGCCCAGGCGGAGGTGCTAGTGAACTGAACTTGATAGGTGAACATGCTTGAGAGAGATTCTGCTGTAGTATTGACCAAGACTTGGTCATTAATTGGATGTGTTAGATCAGGGAGGAAGAGAAGGCCACCCCGAGTTTTGGGAGCTGGGCAGCTATGAGATTGGTGTTGGCTTTCTCCCAGAGGGGAAATCTAAGAGCAAATGCCATTGATGAGCCATATTTTGAACCTGCAGAGTTTGAGTTCATCTGTGGGACATGTGAGGGCATGTGTCTAGGAGGTAGTTGTATATAGGAGTCTGAAGTTGAGGAGAGGAATCAGTTCTGGAAATCTAAATGGAGGATTGTCCTTGTACAAGGTAGTTATCAAAGCTCCCATGGATGTGGATAAGATCGCCTGGGGAATGTGTGCAGAGCGAGAAGAGGCTCTCAGTACAAAATGCAGAGAACAGGAGCAGCTGAGAAATGGAGAGAAGAAATGGAGAAAGGAGGAAAGCCAGCCAAGTGCAGTGTCTTGGAATCTGAGGAAGAGAGTGTTTTGAGAAGCAGAGAGAGGGCACAGATTCCAATTGATGCTGCTCAGATGCTGGGGAAGGTAAGGCAGTCACTGGTGACCTGGGTACAAGCACTCTTAAGGGAGAACTAGAAGCAAAAGTCAGATAGTAAGCAAAAATTAAAAGTCGAGCACTCAGAAGTGAACAAGTAGAGTTGGTAAGTGCAAACCACACTTTCAGTAAGTTTGTGAAGTGCAGCAGGAGAGAAGGGACAATGGCTAGGGGTGTTGTTGTAGGACCTGAGGAAGGACATGTGGCGCCCTCGCTTTAATGCTGATAGGAAGGAGCCAGTAGAGAGGGAGAGGGTAACATTGATTAGATGCAGGTCTCTGAGAAAGTACAGGATGCTCTCCAGCCTCAAGCAGAATACGGTATGAGCTACTGAAGTCTGTTCTACAGGGATTTCACCACTGTTTTAAAAACATTAGAATTATTTCATTTCTCTCCTGTACATCCAGGATGATATCAGCTCTGTACCATCCTTCAGAGAATTGGGAAAGCAGTCACTTAAATCGTTCTCTGAAGGGCTTAATTCTCTTAGGAATACAGCTAAGAAATGTTGGCTAGAGTAATTTATATTTCATGTGTATCATTTAGCAGAAACTAACCACAGCTTCCATTTAGTTCAACACTGCTGTTGGGCACACAATAGTCTCAAATATGCCATAACCCAGGCAGTAACATAAGCACCACAATAGTACGCTTCACTTAGGTGATTTACATCTTTTATTTTTTCTGCTAATAATGTAATTTGAACTATTAAAATTTTGTTTTTGATATCTTTTTACTCCTTTTGTTTTTCTAATACCTGTTAATATTCTACCATCTTGGTAACATTCTCTAGTCTTTTTTAATTATCCGCAATATATCTGTTTTTTAATAGGCTAGTCTTCCATCTACTTGTCTATTTTAATTAAGAATGAGGCAGCAGGCTAGGCATGGTAGCTCATGCTGGTAAGTCCCAGCACTTTGGGAGGCCAAGATGGGAGGATCATTTGAGGCTAGGAGTTAGAGGCCAGCCTGGGCAACATATTGAGACCTTAGCTCTACAAAAGAAAAAAAAATGAAGCAGCATTATTGTGAAGCTTTGAAAACTAAAAAACTTAAAATTCTTTTATTTTGTATTATAGAAGTTAAATAAGCAAATGTCTAGACATATATTTAATTTTCTCATAAGTCCCTTAAAATTTTTGAAGATTTGTACTCATCCTCATTCTTCTGAACATACTCAAAAACTTAACAAGACTACATGATTTTTGTTTCTTTTTCAGGAGTTGTGGAGTGTATGGCAGCTGGCACAATTATCCTTGCACACAATTCAGGGGGCCCGAAGCTTGACATTGTTGTTCCTCACGAAGGAGATATAACTGGCTTTCTGGCTGAGAGTGAAGAAGGCTATGCTGAAACTATGGCTCACATTCTTTCCATGTCTGCAGAAAAGAGACTTCAAATCAGAAAAAGTGCCCGTGCATCTGTAAGCAGATTCTCTGATCAGGAATTTGAAGTGGCATTTCTATCATCTGTAGAAAAGTTATTTTAGTAATGCCATATCTGTAAAATTAAAGATATTTTATATAAAATGGTTAAAAACCTTCATATGTAAATATTTTTCTAAATTCAATCTCATTTGTCAAATCACTTTACTTTAGAAAACAGGAAAGAAAATTTCCTTTTAGAATAAAAGGAAGTGTTGAAAGGAAAATAGATGACCAGACTTCGGCTTTCATTCTTGGCCCACATGAGAGAAGGTGGCTGCTGAAATGAATGCGAACCAGGTTGTGGAGAGCCTTCTGGCTTTGAGCCAACAGGAAGAACTGGTGGATTTGCCAAAAGACCACCCCTTGAGTGAGAGTGAAGATGAGGGGGACAGTGATGGAGAGAGAAAGCATCAAAAGCTTCTGGAAGCAATCCGTTCCCTTAATGGAAAGAATAGGCAGAAATTGACTGAGAGGTCTGAGGCTGGTCTGAAGGTGTTAGAGTTCAATGTCAGTTCTGAAGGATCAGGAGAAAAGCTGGTCCTTGCAGATCTGCTTGAGCCTGTTAAAACTTCATCTTCTTTGGCCACTGTGAAAAAGCAACTGAACAGAGTCAAATCAAAGAAGGTAGTGGAGTTACCTCTTAACAAAGAAAAGATTGAACAGATCCACAGAGAAGTAGCATTCAGTAAAACCTCACAAATCCTCTCCAAATGGGACCCTGTCATCCTGAAGAACCGGCAGGCAGAGCAACTGGCTTTCCCCCTAGGGAAGGAGCAGCCAGCCATTGCCCCCATTGAACATGTGCTCAGTGGCTGGAAGGCAAGAACTCCCCTGGAGCAGGAAATTTTTACCCTCCTCCATAAGAACAAGCAGCCAGTGACAGACCCTTTACTGACTCCCATGGAAAAGGCCTGTCTCCAAGCCATGAACCTGGAAGAGGCAAAGATGCACCGAGCAGAGCTTCAGAGGGCCCGGGCTCGGCAGTCCTACTATGAGGCCAAGGCTCAAAGAGAGAAGAAAATCAAAAATAAAAAGTATCACAAAGTTGTAAAGAAAGGAAAGGCCAAGAAAGCCTTAAAAGACTTTGAGCAGCTGCAGAAGGTTAATCCGACTGCAGCATTGGAAGAACTGGAAAAAATTGAAAATGCCAGAATGATAGAAAGAATGAGCCTTAAGCACCAATCCAGTGGGAGATGGGCCAAGTCAAAGGCAATTATGGCCAAATATGACCTGGAGGCTCGCCAAGCTATGCAGGAACAGTTGACCAAGAACAAAGAACTGACAGAGAAACTCCAGGTAGCGTTTGAGAGTGAAGAAGAGGAGGGAGGCACAAAAGTAGAAGAACTCTTTGTTCCTGAGGTAGTGAATGAAGTGCAGAAGAATGTGGATGGGCTGAATCCCTGGATGCTCAGGAGCTACACTAGTGACACCAAAGAGGTTGCAACCCAGGAGAACCCTGAGCAACTGCCAGAGCCTGCAGCCCATGAGGTTTCTGGAAGTAAGAAAGAAGAAAGACCAGCGGCAGAGGAAGAAATTTTGTTGAGAGGATTTGAGGAAAGGAGATCCCTTAGAAAAAGTTCTGAGCTCAACCAAGATGCTGAGCCAGCAGGCAGTCAAAAAACAAAAGATTCTAGCAGCCAGGAGGTGCTGTCTGAATTGAGGGCACTAACTCAGAAACTGAAGAAAAACCATCAGTCCAGGAAGCAAAAAGCAAGTTCAGAGGGGACTGTTCCCCAGGTCCAGAGAGAGGAAGCTGCCCCAGAAGAAGAGGAGTCCCTGTTGCCAGAGAGGCCAGAGAGAGTACAGACTCTGGAAGAGCTGGGAAAAGAAGATTGTTTTCAAAATAAAGGGCTTCCCAGACCTGTGTTAGAAGGGCAGCAGTCAGAGAGGACCCCAAATAATTGGCCTGATGCCCCTAAGGAGAAGAAGAAGGAGCAAATGATCGACCTACAGAACCTCCTCACCACACAGTCTCCTTCCATGAGGTCTTTGGCAGTTCCCACAACAATAGAGGAGCTGGAAGATGAAGAGGAGAGAGACCAAAGGCAGATGATAAAGGAAGCTTTTGCTGGGGATGATGTCATCAGAGATTTCTTGAAAGAGAAGGAAGCCGTAGAGGCGAGTAAGCCAAAAGACATGGACCTGATACTACCTGGCTGGGGTGAGTGGGGTGGTGTGGGCCTAAAGCCCAGTGCCAAGAAAAGACGCCGGTTTCTCATTAAAGCCCCAGAGGGTCCTCCAAGAAAAGATAAGAATTTGCCAAATGTGATT